TTGCAGATAGATTTGTTAAACTTTGTGTTATTTTTTTTTTCTCTTCCATGATAACTTGTGACTTTGTGCTAGCACAGCTATTGACAGCACCCAAGGGTTCCGCCTACCCAATTTCACTCACAAGGCTTGGGTCAACCTGTGGTACAGTTTTCAGGCATTTTTCAAAGGTGCCACACACTGGGATTGACCTCAATCCAGTCCGATAATATCAGGAAGTCTCCTTCCTGACAAATCGACCATCTCATGGTCAGACAGTAGACATTCTAACCACTCGGCCACGCGCCCTATTATATATATATATATATATATATATATATATATATATATATTAGTCGACTCCTGGGGCTCAAAATGTCTGTTGAGTGAGTGTCTGCAATAGGGATTGGCTAGCTACCCTAGTAGATGAGTATCCTCAAATATGAGTGGCCAGTTATTATATATATATATATATATATGAAAACGAACAAAGAGAAAATGGATCTTAATCTAACGTGTTTCACTTTATTAAAGATTTGTCAGAGACTAAAATAGAAATGATTATATATATATATATATATATATATATATATATATATATATATATTAATAAGGACTAATATCCAAAGAAGAAAATAGACTTAAACAGAATGGATGTCATTATTTAACCTTGAGGGGACCCTTTTGGCCAACACTTTCTCAAAAGGTGAATGTTAGCAAGAAGCAGGACATAATCAAAGACAAATTAATAAATAATGAATGAGGAAGGAAAATTGGAACATGATTAAAATAGATTAACGGCTAAAAACAAAATACAAAGTTCCAAAAAGCATATAAAATAGAAAATTTTACTAATAATCCCTTTGATCAAATGTAAGGAATGAAGAAAATGTTCCTTGTTTTTACATAGGCTTGCCTGATGAAACTTAATATAAACAGCCTCAAGAACTCAAAGATGGTGAACCAAGCGAGAACATTATATATCTGCATCAATTTCCTGACAAGACTCCCACATGAACTGAATCCTGGCATCAACAAAATGTGGCTTGCATGTGAAAACCCTATCCTTCACATATCCCCAGAAAAAGAAGTCCATTGGAGGTGAGATCTGGTGTACTTAGTGTGTGCGTGTGTGTGTATATATATATATATATATATATATATATATATGTGTGTGTGTGTCTTTCACAGACAGTACTGTTTCGCTGTATCACAGCTCCTCAGTGCAACTAGGCAACCGAATGCCTCAAGCCCAGATCGAAACCCAATTGATTTGGTGTCTGTCAGAGCTTCTACCACTGAGCTATCTTCACTCGACAGAACGAATCCGCCAAATCTAGTGTATTGTTTTTACAAGCGTAAACAAACACCAAGCAGCCAAAATGCACCATTCATTTTACTGAAGAGCTTCGATGCCCCATATTAATTAACTCATATCTTCAGAAGTAGACAGGTTTGCCTATCATCCAGTTCATACTCCTTTCTGTTCTTTTGAACAGGAATAGAGGTTTGTTTATTCCTTGCTTCCTGTTCAGGGTTGGGTTAATGGTTTCTTCTAAAGTCTTCTCATTCTCTTTCACTCCCAGTAACCATTTGCGCCTTAGTGGCATTATTGCTATGTTTGGGGTGAACTGATTAAAAAAAAAAATTTTTATTCATACACAGGTTTTGACTAAATTTTGCTTTGGAGCCTCAACAAAATGAGAAAAAAAAAATGAAGGATATGTGGGTGGATAGCAGGTCAGAATGAGAATAGCCTTGAGAAAGTTATGAATCTATCTCTTCTTCCTCCCAACTATGGGTTAAATAGCAAGGCAGACTGTTGCATGATTGGCAATCAGTCTCAGAGAATGACAACTTTTAATTCAAAACTGTATGTAGCCCCAATGTTGCAACAGAGATCCCTTAAGTAAGATTTCTGTTAGATTTCAAGCAAAAGTGCTTCATCAAAATCAATTCATTGAACAAGGGTTATGCAAAGATCCATGTAATGGATTAGGCAAGCAAAAAATTGAAAAGGAACAAAAATACAGAAAATGTCCCCTATATTTCCCTAATGAAGGTTTTGAAACTGCAACGATTTATCTCTGGGTACCATTGCAATATTTTAAAACCGTTATCTATAAAATAACAGAACCATAAAATTTGACATGACACAGCCACAAATCTGAGTTTACAAGAATCTTTAAGAGTTATTTCCAGTTTCGTAATTCTGGTTCCACAGAAATTTTTCCTACACATATGTGAGTGAGAGACAAAAAAAAAAACAAGGTCTTACTTCTTGCCCAACCAATATAAACTGTTTACAATTCAATGTTTAAATCTTAAGAAACATTTTAAAGTCCAGACTTGGATTTTGTGCATGTATATATATATATATATATATATATAAAAATTAGAAAAGTTATCAAACAAGAGATTAATCTAAATACATGTAGTCTGACCAGCCTTGTTCCAGGCGAGGCCAAGATTCTGGTAGGAGTTTTTTTTGGGGGAGTGGGGCTGTTCAACACTAATGGAGATGGCTACAACTCACTTTCCAGTTCTGGACACAGTACGTTCACTTTCCAGGTCTCATCATTTTACAGCTGAAATGGCTAGATGTAACCATAAGTTCAATTCTAAGAGTTTCTTTATGGCGTTTTTCACTTGTGGAACACTTCTTGCTTTCCAACTTTGATCTTCAAAAATTTAAATGCAATGTCAATCATTATCTTCGGTCTTCTTTATTCCTCTTTGTTTACTGTTCTCTCTCTCCTTCATAAACATTTTTCATATTCTATAACAGTCAGTAACCCTTGCATCTTAGTGGCTTTATAGCCTTTCTTGGGGTGAAATGATTAAAAATTATAATAATAAAAATATATTTCTTTTATTTCTTATTACCATAAACACAACTTTTAGCAGTTATACATGTTGCTATCTCTGGTTTTTCATTTTTTTTTTTTTAAAACAATATCCCCAAAACTATTTTGTTTTAAACTAGTCTTAAAGAAAAATCATTAAGTCAGATCTTGCTCTATCAAGTGGGTCTCTCAAGGCCAAACTGGTAGCAGAATGTTTTGGCTAGAAAAGTGATTTTACTGATGGAAAAAGAGATGTGGATTTGATTCCTGTGTAGAGACAAATTTTTTTATTTTAGCAAAACTTTGATCTTATGTTGATTGTTATTAATTTCACTGTTTAAGAAAAAAAAAAGTGTGACCTCTATCTATCTATGTAAGCCTCTCTCTCTCTCTATATATATATATATATATATATATATATATATATATATATATATATATACTTACTAGCAGCATGGCCTGGCGTTGCTCGTGCTTGATTCAAAAATCGTACGACTCATACAGCAATCGCTATCACTTGACTTAAAATATTTTTGCCCTTTGCTGTGTTGATGTTGCTACATGCCTTACTTCTTGCCTATCTCACACTGCGAAATTTTTCTAAGCTCTATACTAAACATTAAATCTGTTACGAAAAAAGAACTAAATAAAATGAACACAAAAACGATCAGCTTTAAAAAAAAGGACTCAGACTGGAAAAAACGAATGAAAAAAGAATGTTAACAACAAATACTTTTCACACCCAACCCAGTTCTGTGGAATCAGAATCAATGTTGAGTTTAAGCAAGCGAATGAGCCAATTGGAGTAAAGTGCCATGCAGATTTAAATTTTTCCCACTTGTGACGAATGCAGCTATCGATTTTTTTTTTGCATGCTAGTTAACATTTGTGTCAGTCAGCTGTTGGCTCTCACGCTGACCAATAGAATCTCCCTGCCTATTCGTGGCAGCCAGCTATAGGCTCTCACTGTGGCCAGTACAAAATGGCTGCAAACTACATGAAAACTGCTGTAGAAGCATGAAAAAAATCGATTATTTCCACTATCAATGGGAGCTGGGAAATGCAAAGTCAGTCTTGGCCTTCCGTTAACTTGGAGTATGTGCATGTAAATTTTGGTGCAAATCTGTCGAAAATTGTGGCCGTGCATTCATTACACACACACACACACATTTTCCTATATATATATATATATATATATATATATATATATATATATATATATATAATTAGTTACTTTAATAATAATGTAACCTAATAAATCAATTAAAATATTAATTAAAAATATTAACTAAAATTTAATTAATAATAAAAATGAACAAATACTACAATTTAATTAATATAACTACTTCTAAAACTATAAAAAAAATTGAATTTTGAAGAAAAATTTTACAGCTGGAAGAAAAATCTACAGCTGAAAAAATGAAAGACATTAACAAAAGCAAAATTTCATCAACATGCACATGTAAAAATGTTGAATTCATGAAGAAGAATATGTACAAAATGGAGAAAAGAAAAAAGCAGATTGAAAAAGACGTGGAACAAATTGAAAAACTTGGAAATACCATTTAAAACCACAACCCCCTGAAGACTGAAAATTTTACCAAGAAACTTCAAAGTTGGAATAAAATTGATACTTAAAAGCTAAGTTATATATATATATATATATATATATATATATATATATATATATATATATGTGTGTGTGTGTGTGTGTGTGTGATACACACAAAACAAATTAACATCAATAAAAATGCTACATTCCTCAAATGAAATAGGTCACATTAAAATGTGTCACCAGATTTGATAATTTTAGAATTCCAATTAACGTATTTTCATTATTATTCATTTAAATAATCAGGTTTCGCAATATACTTTTACTAATGAATGTTGTCTGTCTAGAAAATTGTGTTAAAAACAGCAGTAAAATGAAAAATACTAAGAAAACAATAATGCTCCGAGAGAGAGGCATAAGTGATCATGACTTTCCACAGATTCCTTTAATTTATTATCAGTGAATTCCCATGAATTCTTGAGGAAGATAACTGACTGGTTTCTGATTGCCTTCTCCATGGTTTGGAATTCAGAATTTTCAGAACATTTGTGTGAAAGTGAATGCAACAAACTAGGTGAGAATTTGAACTTGGCTTAAAAATTCAACTTTCCATGCCAGTTTCAAACTGGAGGGAAAAAAAAAGTAGGTGTGATAAAATATTTTGTGTGCTGGGAGGGAGGGGGGATGGAGTGAGGAGATTGGTTGCAGAGGTTGGCAACAGTGAGACAGAGGGCAACCGACAGGGAGAGAGGGCAGGAGATGGCGAGAAAGACAGTGAAAAGGAGGCTAAGAGCAAGAGCAAAAGAGAGGAGGGAGACAGAGGTGAGGCAAAGGAGAGTGAGAGAGGTTGAACTAGAGTGAGATAGAGAGGGATAGTGTGAGAGAGGTTGAGGCAGAGAGCAAGAGGGGAAACATACCTGGCAATCAATTCTTTTCATTATTTTTTTTTTGTTCTTTTCATCATTATAACCCAGAATCTTGAGTCATTAAATACACTGTTTAGAGAGTCAAATCAAAAGTGCTTGACTCTTTCTCTCTCTCAAAGATTTTTAATCTGATGCCTTCTTATGATGAAAAGAAGGCCATCGACGTAGCTGGCAGCACTCATTAGTGATACTAATCACTTCCGTAGCCATTAGATGATTTCCTAAACCAGCCTCAGGTCTTGATAAGTATTGTGTACACCAGTAGTGACATACCACACTTTGACTAACAACAACAAAGTAGACACAAATTCAAGTCCTGAAAATTCAAACAGGAGTCAGCTGCATAAGAAATCATATAAAGGCATACTGAAAAGTTCTCAGCCCAACCTACTCCCCCACATCTGACCATACACATTTCATATTCTAACCCTACAACTATTTCAGTACAGTGGATTAAATTATTTTCATTGTTCGGACGATCATCCTCATCTTTGTTGCCATATTTATCATAATGTTTCAGCCGTTGTACGCTCTGGCCTTCTTCAGGTGGTTGGAAAGTCGAAGTGAACCCTTTATTTCGCTCGCTGGGGTAGACTGTACTAGTTCCACATGCCATGTCTAATGGATGTCAGTTATCAGTTATGTCCTGTTAATTAAGTTTGCCACTGCCTTAACCAGGTATTGAACTCACACTCTCTTGGTCCTGTCACTGGATCTAAGTAACGCCTTTATAGTTAGTTAGGCTTGACCTTTTTTTTTTTCTCCATAAATATCTCTCACACTAAACTTGACAATGGAGTCCACAGGGCATATTCCAAACTTAGCCCACATAAGCTATTATGGATGCCATGAGCCCAAAATACTTGTACTGTATATTGTATAGAATTTACTCCACTATCTGTCTATATCCACTGTGCCATGTGTCCTCAAGGACAAGGATAAAAGTGTAAAAAATGTTATAAAGTTTAATGTACCTAGTTTTAAGTATAGCTAAAATAACTAATGTGATTTCAGGTATTACTGTAAATCAGTTGGCAAATGTTTTCAGTGAACTGCAAAATCGTATTACCCTAATGATGGAGGACATGTGGAAACTTAAAAAATATAGGTAATCCTTTTTACAAATTATTTCTATCGCAAATACAAATAAAGTTATAAATTTTTTAAAGTGCAAACGAACTTTATGGACGAGCTGTATATTATTCAAGCTTATTTTTTTATATATCTGTCACCTGTTTTTTTATTGTCCTCTCTTCTAAATATAATTTCATTCTCAGTAACCATGTGGATTAGTGGATTTGTGATTTATACATATATATATTGAGAGAGAGAGAGACAATAATAATAATAAAAATAAGGAATAAATTCTCTGTAAATATGTTTGAAAAGAATTACACCATTCATTAACTTCCTCCTTCTCATCACAACTTCAAGCAAAGCACTTGTCAACTCTCATTGGCTCAGCAAAAAGAGGACTGTGCCTATTATTTTGTTACATGAATGATTTTTTTTCCCTTCTCTCAATTTGTTCCCACCCTGCCCCACCATGGTCTTGGGTAAGCAGTCAATGATACATGATTGCTACTCAATGGTCACAAGAATAGAGGTTACTACTTTAGTTGCCACCTCCCTCTTAACCACAAGGTCCATAAAATAAGGACTATCTTTTAACCACCCACCATTTCATGTAATCTGTCAAATAACTCTATGCATTATACTTTGAGGGTGTAGACATCAAAAACTAATTGAAGACCTGAAAACTAGAAAATGCATTGTCAAAACATTTAAATTAAAATACAGATAGGTTTTTGTCCAGAAAGACAAATTTATGAGATAAGCCATTTCTAACCCACATTCAGGTTGGGATCAAAGTGTAGTATATGTTTTCAGGCGGACCAACAAAATTTTATCTCTCAATTGAATTTCTGTGTTTGGTTAAAATACAGCAGATAAATAATGGATGTTAACCCAGGTGTTTAATCTTTACAAATTACTCCCCTTGGCTATACTTCAATCTAGGAAGAGTTAGTCTTAACTGAGTGGCTATTTTATAAGGCACACATGTGAAGAACAAAGCAGTCTGAATAAAAGCATTCTCTTTCCTTCAACATATCTGAGTTCCTTTAATTTGAATTTACACCCAGGATTCCAACCCTGCAGCAACACCTTCATTGCACCAAGGAGAAGAGTCAAGTGGAATATCAATGCCAGCACAACATTGGTTGCAGGGACTGGGCAATTTTTGGCCTTAGACCAATTGCATATACTCCCACTATAAACTGGCCTTGTGCCATATCCTGTTACAGTGAGGACAAGTAAATACCAAGTGTAGTATTTGGGATAAGAACTACTCTCATTGAACTAAAGATGGGAGGGGGGGTGAATATCCATGCAAGAGGACAGCTGTTTTCCTCAGTCATATATCCATGTATCGCCACCCCACATTATATTAAATCCTGTCACTGTGAGGAGGTGGGTAAATTGACTAAATAAAAGTACTGTATTTTGAGGCATATAACAGACATGTCCTCTCCTTCATGTGTATATGTAGTTACATTAACATAAATTTCACTTTAGTCCAATGAAGTCCTAAATAATAAAACATATCACACAAAAGGGAAGTGAGTGTTCTTATATATATGCATATATATGTGTGTGTGTGTGTGTGTATATATATATATATATATATATATATATATATGAAGAAATATAGTTTTAAAGTGTATTATATTTATGGGATAAAGTGCTGAATATCAGAGAGACTATATGTAAACATAAAAGTGAACACTCAGAGGCGACAGGCTGTTTCATGCTAGACGCAATTGTCAGGCTGCCTAACAGCTGCATCTAGTATGAAACAGCCTGTCACCTCTGAGTGTTGACTTCAATGTTCACTTTATGATATATATATTATAAATTAACTGATTTAAAAATATGGTTAGTTTAAATCAGTTAATTTATAGTATTTATGCTCTGTAATTTTACATTGAGCGCTGTTTTGTAAAAATAAAAATATCAATAAGAACACCGGATTATATATCTTACTGTTTGTATCATTTACTTTCAAAAAAGTGCTCAATACAAAGTAGAGCAATATATTATTATCATTTTTATTCTAAGAGATTAAAATAAAAACATTTTGAAATCGTTATACAAAAGCTTTCATGTTTCAATACTTTGAGTATACTTCTTCAGGCGATGTTAAGTAACTGGTGATTAAATGATTTTTAAGGAAAATTAAAAATAAAGTGTTACCTCTTTTCTGAAAGTTAAAGGAGGAGGGGGTGAACATAAGGTCAGAACATACCCTCAAATCCAATTTTAATTCTGACCTCAATATTTGCGGTGGAGTAATTCTAGTTATAGACAGTTTGGATATGGGAATCAGCACTGGATGGTGACTGTCATGCTTCAGTGCAATCTTCAGACTAATGGGAAGAAGACTGCTTCAATCACTATACAGTGTTGATTCCTATGGCTATCTTAACAGATAAGGCAAGTGTTATTGATTAAAAAAATATCATGTTGCATTAGTATATTTTTATACTGAATAGATAGTATAGTACTGAAAATAAAGCAAACATAGCTAGTACAATGAGACCATCCAGAGCTGTCAGTTTCATACTTAGGCACATGTATTACATATATGACTAGTTTACATGTGTCAAAAATAATGGTGGACATGTGTGTGTGTGTGTGTGTATATAGGTTAAAAAATAATTTCCTTGGGAAAGGTATGAATCAATCATTTCTCCTTGAAGGTATAGGTGAATAGGAAGACAGTCTTGGTTGTCCTATAGTCTTGGTTGGCAAGCAATCTAGAAGGACAACCCTGAATACAAAACCTGAGGGAGGATGTTTGGAGACTATGGGGCAACAGTGCTCTGTATTTGGTTATTTTGAAAAGTGTGGTTGGTTCTGCACAAGTTGTGTTTTGTGCTTGAATACAATGAAAAAAAAAAAAAAATCACAAAGTAATACATCAACAGGTTAACAATAAACCTGTTCTTATTGAATTTCAATAAGGTGTCACGTGGCACCTCCTAGATGTTTTTTATTACAAAATATAGAAAATAATGTGTCATCTTAAATGCCTGGGTGAAGATAAATGCATATACACAGATATGTGTGTATATATATATATATATATATATATATATATATATTTATTTATTTAAAAATATGATTCCAACTCGTGACATAAGAGGTCTCATGCTTCAAAACAAGAGCCGAAAACTTCAATATAATTATTAGAATTAAATTGAGTTAAAGTAAGCTCTGTTCCATCTTCAAGCAAAATTTTTTTTTGAATAACTTATTTCTGAAATTTACGTGTTTTAATAGTATATTCATAATTGAAAGCAAAATTTCCATGGTAACAGCTAGGGCGAATTGTTTAACATAGGTAGGGGTGCGTTGGGTGTTAATAATAAGTATCTGTATAGAGTTACTTTCATAGATGTCAAGTCATGGTGAGGTGGATCGAGCACTATTTTTAAAAAATAATAACAAAAATACTAAGGAACTTTGGATTATTTATCTAACCAGTTCTTTCCTTTATATATATATATATATATATATATATATATATATATCTCCTTTACTATACATTCAACACCGCCACTTGATAAGACACCAGGAGTGTTGAAACAAAATGGCTATTTTTGTAGTGATTTTATAACATATTTATGTTATAATTTTCAAATAAATAATTATATATATATATATATATATATATATATATAGTACCTGGCCACTCATATTTGAGGATACCCATCTACTAGCCAATTCCTCTTGCAGCCTCTCGCTCAGGCACATTTGTGTTTGTTCAGACATTAATTACAGTTTCTCAGAGAGAGTGTGTTATCTAGAATGATCAACAATCTGAACACGTGCACACTCAAACACTGTCACAATGATTTGTGACTTTGTGCTAGCAAACCTATCAATGCTGCACATGTTTATATACAGGAGCAATGATGTTATTGTTTTATCGTAGCTTTTAAATTTGA